TTTTAATTCTATATAATTTCAAGATTAAAATAAAAAAATTTTTAGCAAATTTGATTAATTAGTTGTTGAGATATTTTGTCCCTTTTCTATTGACTTCCCCCATTTAATTGATAATATTTTTGGATGAATCTAGATATCGCACTCCTGTTAGCACTTATATTTCGCACCTAAGGTGTGATACACTTATATATCACAGGTATCGGGTCGTCTAAAGCGGAGCAGAATCACATAATATATGACCAATCAAATTATAGAATTTTGATGATTGCCGACGAGCAAAGCAAGAAATAAAAATAAAAAACTTGAAAAATACAAAAAATAGTAGTCTAAACCTACCTAGAGTAAGTTAAGTAAAAATATCGGGAAGTCAATTTTGCCTGTATATAACTACCTAAAACCTTTCTAACTCTAGTTCAAGATGATCCTAACCCAAAAGTTAATTTGATAAAATATATATTATAAGAATCTATTCCGCTTTAGACGTCTCCAAAAAATAGAAATAATTATTACAGTATTACATGATCAAATTTAACCAATAAAATTTTTTAATTTATTTAAAAAAATTAAAGTCTATATATAATATATACCTAACCCTAACTATCAAAATCTTTAACAAAACTACATCACTATTAGCAACACTAGTAAAAGAAATACCAAAATGAAACCTAAACAACAACAAAAAGCAACGTGCCAATAATGACATGATAAAAGCAATGAAACAAAACAATGGTTCCAAATCGACACAACGAACCTGTAACAATGCTCTAAAAATGTGACAGAAGATACATCTAGAATGACGACTCCAGCAATGAAAGAAACACCAAAAAAAGGATGCTTTAATACGAAGAATAAATACCAGAAAAGACAACTCCAACGACAAAAAATAGGCAATTCCAATGATGGAAACCCACAAAAAAGCCCTCTGAAAGTTCTAAAACAAAAATACAAACGTTAGTACACAGTAAAGAAAGTACAAAAAAAAATATAAAAGCACCGAAATAGATGACTCCAACAATAAAGAAAAAGCACAGAAAGGGATGACTCCAGTGACGAAAGCACCAAGGGACAACTCCAACGATGAGAAGCCATGAAAAAATGCACCTAAAAAACCCGAAAAAAAGGTAATACTTACAAAGCAAAAAAAAACACATCTAACTCTAACCAAGACTCTCTAGCCCTAACACAATGCCACCCAGTCTACACAAAACTTACCAAATCACTAAAGACAAATGAAATCTAGGCAAAAGAAAAAAACTGTATACTTACCTGAGATGAAATTCGAAGCCCCACTTTGCACCAAAGAACTACCGGCAAAATAAATACCGAAATCATCAACTTCAATAATGCAAGAAAAGTATCAATCACTGATGAAAAAAAATCAACACCAGTGATGCAAGAAAAATGTCAACCACTGGGGAAAGAAACACTGACACCAACGACACAAGAAAAGGCACTAGCCACTGGCAAAAGAAGCCCCAAAATAAACAACACCAATGACATGAGAAAAGACACCAACTACCGGCGAAAGAAGCAGCACTGAAATAGATAACACCAACAACACAAGAAAAAGCACCAACTACTAGTAAAAAAAAATCTATTATCTGAAAAAAAGAACAAAAAAGCGTTAGTATAGTATATAAAAAAACAAAGCAAAAAGAGAAACAAAAAAAACGAATCACTTATTTCTAAAAAAAAAAATAAACAGATCACAAATCTGCATTTTGATTGGCTGGTGATATTTACGGGGTGCAATCTATATATTTATTCAATATTTTTAATATTATTTTATCATTACTGACTATAATAACAATAATATCCATATCAACTCTTTTCAATAATCATTTGGACCACAATTTTTAAAAACTTTTTACTAGAAAAAAAACAGTACACTAAAGTAAAGTTAATAATTCTTATATAAGATAAGGGAAAAGAGACTGCAAGTCAGTAGCTATTATTTAGAAGTAGTTTTCATATACTATCTGCAAATAGCCCCAGAGCTTATCCCTTACTAACTGCAAGTATGGCACTTGTTATTTGAAAGTAGTTTTTATATACTACTTGCTAACAAGCTTAGAGTTTATCATTTACTGAAAAGACTTAGTATTGTGCAGGCTTAGGTATATAGTTGATTCTAGTTCATATTCTTTTAGTGGTTCTAAATGGTTTTTTCTTTTTGCTAATCTCACCAAAATTTTAACAAAAAAGTGAGCGATTTAGCTTACTCTCTCCAAAAGATTAGCATTGTTTATACTTTTCATTTTCGAATAGACATAAACACAAAATTGTTTTAGCAATAATGACCTATACTATGTAACAAACTAATCAATGCTCTGGTTAATAAACTAACTCAGATCAGATATGATAGATGAAAGAAATTTTAATAATAAGGCTTAGCTTTATAACAGAGATATACAAGATTTTTAAATTTAAAAATTAGTTTTATTTAAATTTAATTAGGTATATAATTTTTACAATTATGTCTAGTATGGGCTATAATAGTCTTTTTATAGATTGATTTTTTTTCTGCTTTTTCTTTGTTTTTTTCATTTTCTTGTTGCTTAGGCAGTTTTTTTCTTCACCTCTTTTGTATTGTTTCTTTTATCTTTTTTTTTTAGTATTAGTTTTTTTTTTATAAGTTAGTTAGAAACTATAAATTTTTCTGCTTGAGAAGCTAGAAGAAAAAGGTTAGATTTTAATAAGCTATAAATACTATTTAGTGATATATTGAAAAATTCAGTTGCAGGTTTTTTGATATTAAAATAAACTTTACTATAGCAGATTGAACATGTGTAATTTGGATATTTTAATATCACAAAGAGCCAGATTAGTAAATACTTGTAAATTAAATAGACTTTAGATAACTTAAGTCAAAAGTGCATTTTTACCTATGAGTTCAAATGTTTATATCTAATAAAGTATTGGCAAGATTGCTGAATTGATAAAAAAAAAATAACAATAACATTATTATCATCATATAGGCTAAATACTGTGAAAAAAAACAAAATTGTCAATTTTTTCAAAAAATATTTATTATATTAATCAATTTAAAATAAAATTAGAATTATTTTTTACTTAAGACACAAAAGTAGTTGTATTAATAAATTTTTACAATAGCTTCTTAAAGTTTATATTTTCTTATAATTTATTATAAGATTTACAACATAAAAATTAATTTTCTGAAGATCTTTGTTTTTGTTAATTTTGTCCCTTTTTACAGCACCTAGTCTATATTATTAATAACTATTTTAATCATTTAACTTTATAATTATAGCTCACCCAAAAAGTAAAAAATCATTGAGATACAGCAGGACCCTGGGCATCTCTAATATAGGTCATACTTGCACTTTAGCAAAAAGTCAAAAATTTGGCCTAAAGTCTGATTTTTAGTTTTAGCAAATTAAT